AGCGGCCACTGCACTCCGGTCTGGGCGACAGAGTGAGACTCCAATTCAAAAAAAAAAAAACCAAAAAACAAAAACTGGTGCCGGACAGCAGGACACCCACATGCAGGATGAAGCTGGACCCCCAACTCACATATACAATGGGTCAAAGACCTAAATGAAAGAGCCCAAACTGTAAAACTCCTAGAAGAAAATAAGCATAAACCTTGGGTTAGGCAATGATTTCATTGCTATGACACAATGTACAAGCAACTAAAGAAAGTAAGTTGGACTTCAAAACTGAAAATCGTGGGCAAGACACTACCAAGAAACCGACAAAAGGCGGAAGGAAACGCTTGCGAATCCTGTGTCTGACAAGGGGCTAGTACCCAGAGTACCGAACTCTTGCAACTCATGAACAAAATGACAATCCGAGGGCTGGGTGCAGTGGCTCACACCTATAATCCCAGTGCTTCTGAGGCAAAAGTGAAAGGATTGCCTGAGCTCAGGAATTCAAGACCAGCCTGGGCAATTTGGCAAGACCTCATCTCAATAAAATTTTAAAAAATTAGCTGGGTGTGGTGGCACACATATGTAGGGCAGAGGTAGATGGATTGCCTGAGCCCATCAGGTCCAGGCTGTGGTGGACATGAATGTGCCACTGCACTCCAGCCTTCAACTCAAAAATAACAATCCAGTTTAAACGTTGGAAAGGGACTTGATTCACTTTTCCAAAGATGGGCTAATGGCCAATAAGCGCATGAAAAGATGTTCAACACCACTGGTCATGACAGAAAGGCAAAACAACCCCAACGAGACAATTCACTCACTAGAAAGCCTAGAATCAGAGTCTGAGGCAAGGAAAATGGCTAGGATATGGAGAAGCTGGAATCCTCAGACTGGTGAGAACAGTGTAATGTGGTGAAGCCAGTTTGGAACTTTGGCAGTTCCTCAAGTGATGATGACCCAGCAATTTCACCCCTAGTTATACCCGAGATCATTGTGACACAAAAACGCGTACATGCAAAGTTCACAGCAAGGTTATTCCAAATATCTGTAAACAACCCAAAAGTCCAACTGATGAATGTATAAATTAAATGTGCATCTCCATACTGGTCATCGGCTAGCAATAAAAATTAAGCATTGACACATGCAAAGCCTCAGAAACATGCTGAGTAACTAGGCAGCGAAGACCCAAACTGTATAACCCCACATATTTGAAATGTCCAGAATAACAAGACTTACCAAGACAAAGCATAGCACAATGGTTGCCTGGGGCTTAGGGACTTGGGGGGAAGAAAATGATATCGATATGAGGTTTCTTTTTGGGACGATGAGAACGTTCAGGAATTCAGAAGGTGATGGTTGCATAACTTTGAGGATACACTGCAAACTACTTAGCTGTACACTTTAAGAGGGTGACTGTTATCTTTTAGACATAATCCAAACTAAATTCTGAAATTTAAAACTGCTCTTTTGAGAAGTGAGGGTCAATGCCTCAAATCCTTACCTTACAAAATAAGGATCTTAGATTTCCTTGCCATATAGTTTAAGGTAACCAAAATTTAACAGAGCAAAGACAAAAACATACTTCAGTACTTTTCCAAAGAGAATTGTTACCACAGCTTTGCAGCCAGGTTCTCGCTTCTTTTCCTGTTGGTGTATTTAATTACATTGATGGTCTTGCAATCATCTCTGTCTTTTAGGACCACAGTGCTCTGCCCACAGTCCTCGACATACCTGGGTCGTCAGCACCTTCCCACAGCGGGAGCCCCCACACAAGAGGAAGGGTTTCAAGTACATCCATGAACTTCCCAGTCCATATATTTACTTTTTATTGAGTTTGTTAATGTTACAGAGTTCTTGCACTGCCAAAGCGTGCCTGAGAATCCAGGGGAGGAAACGGCACAACAGACAGCCTCGTCCACCCATCATACAGTGTATTAAACTTGATTCATGGACAGTTTGATATTCTCACAATCTTTTAAAAAGGTGTAACAAGAGTTGGAATTTAAATCTGCTGCAGGCCTTCAGATTTCTGGTACAGTATGCCATGATGTAACACCTCCACGTACTTCTCTCAGTTCATTCCTCAATAACAGAACCCAACATTTTGCTGGGGAGAAAAAGCGTACTTTTCAAAGTCCAAGAGACTATTTGTTAAGGTTTTTGGTTCCCAAATGACATCTTCAGCTTAACCAAGAATCTCCTGTTTCTGATTTAATCATCCAATCTCCTTTGGCTGGTGCAGCTACTTAAATACATCAGAAGGCAGGCATCCTAGCTGCCGCCTCAAGAAATGCCAACATTAGGGCCCAGACATGGCTGGCAGGTCCCATCAGGAGACACTGCAATCCTCCTAGGAGTCTGATTCCTGCACCAACACTTTCATCGAGACTGAACTCCTAAAGGAAAATGCTCCCACATCAGAAGTTTTACTCACCACTTGCTTCACTCTTGCCGGTAGCAAGTCTGCCACTCCTGCATTTGGCAAAGGGATTTATTATAGAGAAACCCAGACTCTGCATCAAGTGGTCACAGACCACTCTGAAGTATTTCCATTAAACCAAAGATACAAAATTAGTTAACTATCTCATTAGGTGGAAAGAAACTTTTCTGCAACCCTGGGTGGCTCCTTCAAGTCCCTTTTAAGGACTAAAAACTACTAGGTTTAAGCTGTGATTACTAAAAACAGAAGTGCTACATCACCTTTTGCCCTGACTCTCACGTGAACAACATGACGACACACTGAAAAGTTGTGAACAGCCAGCTGGGACAATGACTGCATCTACAGGACGTCCAATGTCTTAAGTCTGGGCACAAGTATAGAAGGAACTCTTACCAAGATCATGCACGATCCGGGAAACGTAACTGGGTTTTAGCTGAGGCTCTGCTCATGCTGCTTGAACTTCTAAGGACAGGTCAGTGAGCTCCTTGGCCCGAGCAGAAGGCAGACTCCTTCCGCTGCGGCTGACCATACCGTTCAGACCTGATTAGAGAGGCTTTAAGCACCTGAAGTAGACCGCGGGCATCTACTGCCCTTTACCTCAAAGGCTACTTGGTTCCACCCTCAGGATTGGCAGACTCACGAGACATTTCACAATTCTAATGCAGACTTCAGGTTACTTACACTTCACCATGTGATATGCTCTGTCAAAGAACTTATTTCCAGTCAAAGCAAAAAAGGCCTTAATGTGGAACAAAAATAAAGCACTATCCAAACAAAAAGTTACTAAAAGAAACAAGGTTATTTTCTCCCTCACCCCGTTTTCCCACGCACTTGGTGGACCCAAGTGGGTGAATTTAATTTGTGGTTACCTCAGAATACAACTAAAAATTCAAATGACAAATCAGTCCTACAGAGATGTTCTGAACACACGAGTTCTTTTGAGCGGCATGTTCCAGGAAGGCTAACGGAGCCACAGCCTACTACAGAGAGTATTCCTTAAGGGTGGGGCACAGGACAGGTTAATTAAGGTCACTTAAATCTTCATCTTTCACAGCAGATCAGAACCCAGATGGCTGACTTTCTGCAGGATTCCTGGAAAGAACCCAGTAGAGCTGGTTCCAAGGTCCACATCGGCAACACTTAACAGCTGTAACCTTCTTGTCCCGAAGTTGGATCCACATGAAGTCCGCATGAGTGCAGCAAATCTGAGGTAGTCAACCCTTACGGAGGCTCAGTATCTGAACATAAAAAGATTTTGAAATGACCACTGGCTGCAGGTTTTGGTTTTTGTATTTGCAGAGCAATTACGAAAGAAAACTGCTGCACCTAGTTCACACATTTATATAGCCATGAAAATTCCCCCAAATCAATTCACAAAGACAGTCGTAACACATTAATTTCCATAGTGCAACAGGGCCGGTCACTGAGATCAAGTGGTCTGCATCAATCTGTAGATCCAGCAGAGAGCAGATGACGAGTAGCTGTTCGAGGTGCTGGCTGTGGTCTAGTTACCTGGGAAGGGCTAGCAAAGACCATTCCTTAATGGTACTGTGAGTGGCTGCTTTTCTGATTCTCAAGGACAGCATACTGGTTGGCTAGCTGGAGTTTAAGGGCCTGGTTTTTGGAAACCTCATCCCTGCCTCTATTTTTGTGTCTTACTACTTCAAAGCTCTTCTCCATTTCTTTATCCCTAAGGGAAAAGACACGTAATCAGTAAATATTTCTCCTTCTCCAGGGGTCTGAAAATACTCTTCCACGAATTTTAAAAAAGTCACCACTTAGAAAAGTCTTGGCGAGGGTCAGGGAAGGAGAACTGGCATATAAAATCCTTATCAAACCATTCTGAAGGCTTGAGTGGAACAGAATACACAGAACACTGTCCTGAAACTTTATGGTTCTATCTTCTACTCAACAGTATTAATTGTAACTCTATTTCCGGACCAACTTGAAGACAACAGTTAAGTTAAAAGCTGTGTGATGACACTCCTCCTAAGACTCTGACTCTCAGCAATTAATAGATAACACATCTCTCTTTATGCTTAAGTAAGGGGAACAACTTTCTCATTCAAGTAGGCCCTACTCATTCTTTCTCCTCACTGCTATTTTGTGGGAATGGAACTGATTAGATCAGGTAACAAACAACAACAAAAAGATGAGTGTTGTGAGCCACTGCCCTCCCAGAGGTCCTTAGACATTTTGCAAGACAGAGCAGAGGAGCAAGTCCAAGTGGAGGATTAAACTCAAGCCAGCCGTGCTCTTAAAATGTGCAAAACGGCTGGGTTTTACCCTAAAAACCATCCCAAGGAACATTTCCATCTGGTGTCATTTTACATTTCTTCCCATCTAGTTTTTGAAAATTCAGTTCCCTAAATAAGATGTAGATGTGCTAGATGTGCCATATGGGGTCATTTAACTCCAGGTAGCACTCATTTTAAGCACCTGCTGAAATAAGACCATTTTAATACTAGACTTACAAATGCCAACACCTTCCATCTACTCACATTAAATGGAAATACAATAAAAAAGCACACTCACATTTCTAGTTTCCAAATATAAGGGGCAAAAGCCACCACTAAAATACGTACAAAAAAAGGTCAACTTAGAGTTGATATTGCTAGAAAACATACACCAGAGCTAAGAGAAACCACTGAAGACAAAACGTGTCTCCAGAGCTCTTTCCCCTCGCCCTGCCCAGGGCCTTCACCCCTTCCCTCCCTTCCTGGGCATATATAAAGTCCTGCCTGTTTCTCAGCTGCCTGTCAGCTGCAGTCTGGGCTTGACCAGTAAGGAGTAGTCCCCTTGGGTAAGCACTCCTATCCCCTGGAGCCTACTCCCTAGACAAGGAATAAACATCCCAAACAAAGTACTTACTTCCGACTTTCTAGGTGCTTGGCAGTTGACTGCAGGGATGGGAACTGTGTGTCGCTGTATATTTCTGGTGGTCCTTGTGGTGTTTTTCTCGTTGTGGTTAATCTGGCCCCAGGAGGCCTATACACACCACTAGTCATTCCCGGTTCTGGAGTTTCTGTAACTAATATTTTATAACAGCTTAGAGAAAGTATACAAATGCTCAGCATTTTAATAAACTACTCTTGCAATCCCAGTCATTTCACAGCCACAGGAAAAAATCAATACTTGATATAACAAGGGTTCCTGGGTCAGACAATAGAAGGAATCTATTTGAGAAAATGCCTCAAAGTGAAAACATTTGGCTAGGCACAGTGGCCCCCACCTATCATCTCAGCACTTTGGAAGGCCGTGATGAGAGGATTGCCTAAGCACAGAGGTTCGAGACTAGCCTGGGCAACTTGGTGAGACCGCATCTCTACAAGAAATCAAAACATTAGCAGGGCATGGTGGCATGTGTCTGTAGTTCCAGCTACTTGGAAGGCTGAGGTGGAATGATAGCCTGAGCCCAGCAGGCTGAGGCTGCAGTGGCCCTGAGTGTGCCACTGCACTCCAGTCTGGGTGACTGGGTGAGACTCCCACTCAAATCCTCAAAGTGAAAACATTCGGCTGGGCGCAGTGGCTCACACTTATAATCCCAGCACTTTGGGAGGCTGAGCTGAGAGGATTGCCTGAGCCCATGGGTTTGAGACCAGCCTTGGGATCTTGGTGAGACCTCATCACTACAAAAAAAATTAGCTGGGCATGGTGGCACGTGCCTGTAGTTCTTGTAAGGCTGAGGCAGGAGGACCTGAGCCCAGGAGGTGGGTGAGGCTACGGTAGCCACGAGTGTGCCACTGTACTCCAGCCTGGGCAACAGAGCGAGACTCCAACTCAAAAAAAGAAAAAAAGTGCAAACATTCTACTTTTCTCGGGTGTTGTTCTGACCACCCCCCCCAATGTGCAATCTTAATATATGTAAACAAGTTTCATAAACTAAGTTACTGAAAGCGGGAAAGAAATCTGCTGGATCAGGAAGACGGGACTGCCTTTCAAAACAGGACTTTAAGTCCTTAGTTTAGCTATCACCAATCATGAGTATTACTTCTTTATTAGGTTGGTGGACTGAATGAGATGCCATATGCAAAAAGTTTATCTAATAAAATGTCCGAGGCCGGGCACGGTGGCTCATGCCTATAATCCCAGCACTTTGGGAGGCTAAGGTGAGAGGATTGCCTGAATCCATGGGTTCGAGACCAGCCTGGGCAACTTGGCGAGACCTCGTCTCTACAATAAATCAAAAAATTAGCCGGGCTGGTGCCTGCCTATAGTTCCAGCTATTTGGAAGGCTGAGGTGGAAGGATCGCCTGAGGCCATCAAGTTGAGACTGTGGTGGCCGAGGGCGTGCCACTGCACTCCAGCCTGGGCGACTGAGCAAGAGACTCCAACGCAAAATAATAAACAAACAAATAAATAAAAAGTCTGTGTAGTTATAGTTTAAGATTCTAAAGGTAATAAAAGAATAAATACTAGCACTGCTTAATTATTTCACCATCTTCCACATCGATTTCACAGCTCTTCCTCTTTTTTTACTTAGAAAACGTGTTAAAAAAGAGAGAAAAACCCATGTAGCCGAGTAGTCCAAAATCTTCCTTCATGACTTATATTCCAGCTTTTTCCTTTCTTTTTCCATCCTCAATATAGATTCAAACAATGTCACACAATGTTTTCCATTTACTGAAAATGTAATTTCAAGTAAACACCCACATCATTTACCGCTGAAATACACTACAACCATCTGAACACTCTGATGATATGGGGGAGAGCGTACATGTGCGTGCATTATTTACTGAGCACCCAAGCTACACACAGATACAAATGTCAACACAAATAAAACCCCTGTCTTCAAGGACCTTATATTCTAGCCACTCATTTTAAGTTTCTTAGATGAGATGTCAGCTCCTAGTTCACATTCCCCACAACTTGGGTACTCAGCTAGCAGCTACTGTACAGACACTGCTTCCATCATCGTAACAAGTTCCATTGGGCAGTGATTTCTAGATGGAGGAGACAAGAAGATGAGCAGGGTGGTAGGGAGGAGGCTGTGGCCTTAAATGAGGGCAATATGCCTGTTTCACAAAACAATACCTGAACCCCTTGAATCTAAAGCAAACACATTTTTAAAATAATCATTAAAAAACAGAGGGAGGGATCACAAGGCAGATGTGCAAGCTTCTAAGTAGAGGTGAAGCTACCAGAGGTGTGACAAGCAGAAAGACATACTCTGCCATATTTTAAACAGATCACCACCGTGGCTGCTGTGTAGGGAACAAAGTATGTGGATGGGATGGAATGGTAAAAGGAGACACAGAAAAACCAGACAAGAAGCTACACCTCAATAATCCGTGTAAGAAAGGATAATTCAGAACACAGCGGTAGCAATGGGCCTGGTGAAAGCTAGTCACAGACAGTCTGAATTTAATGGGCAAGTAAAACCAGAAGGAATTTATCAAGACTGCATTTAGGTGAGCGGCAAAAGGAAGGAGTCAAGATGACGCCAAGGTTTGTGGCCTAAGTGACAAACGCCACCGAGATAGATGATGTGCAGATTAGGAGCTCGGTTTAGACATGTTGTATTTGGGATGCTGGGTAGACAGTTAAGATACACTTTATCTGGAGTTCAGGAGACATTTGAGTAATAGGCATACTGCTGACATTGCCAAGGGAGTAAAGAAAGAGAATCAAGAGCTGAGTCCTAGAGCCAACTGGCATTTTGAAGCAGGGGTTAAGAGGAGAGGCCAGCCACAACTGTGAACAACCAGGGAAGTGAAATGTGGACTCCTGGAAGCCAAGAAGAATGTTCTGAGGAAGTTACTTTGTTAAATGCTGATGGTCAAGATGAGGACTGAGACTTGTGCACTGGATTTAGCAATGCAGAGGGGTTGGTCACTGGGATCACCGAGAGGACACAGGTGGAAAGTTAAATGGACAAAAACATAAAAGGAATCATTTCTTGGAGGAAGGGCCCCTTGTAGCACAGGCTCCCCCCACCTGGTAAGTGTTCTAGGAACCCATCAGCATCAGCCCACCACTGAGCATTGTTGACAGGCTGCATTTGGCTCCAGTAAATTTGTTTTGGAGATTCTTCAACATGTTTGCCTACTTCCTGATGGGTGACTCACGGGCGCACCTGCCCACACCATGCTGTGTGTTCTGCAGTTTTTGACCCAAACCAGCATGAAACCCACGCCCCACCCCGCCTCTCTTCACCTGATCTCACCCAGAAACTTTACTTGTGTTTCCCCAGATGAAAAAATCCTCAAAGGGAAATGTCTGGCCAACATGGAAGAGGTGAAACAAACAAAAAAAGCACTAAAAGGCATCAAGATTGAATAGTTAAAAAAACCGAGCAGTTCAAAGTATCAACAGGTGTATTGCATCAAAGAATACTTTGAAGATGATTGAAGTTTAGACATGTAAGAATACACAATTTTTAATAAATTCCAGTTTTGCCAGGCATGTAATCCCAGCACTTTGGGAGGCCAAGGAGGACTGCCTGAACCCAGGGATTCAAGACCATCCTGGGCAACTTGGCAAGACCTTGTCCCTACAAAAAAATTAAAAAAAAAAAAAAAAAAAATTAGCCGGGTGTGGTGGCACTCGCCTATAGTTCCAGCTACTTAGAAAGCTGAGGCAGAAGGATCACCTGAGCCCAGCAGGTTGAGGCTGTGCATGGCACTCCAGTCTTAGTAACAGTGAGACTCCAACTCAGATAAATAAACAAATTAATTAACTAATTTCAGTTTCTCTAGAGTCCCACCTCCTAGACAGCAAAAAGCCAGAAAGAGCTGGGCATGGTGGCTCACTCCTATAATTCCAGCACTTTGGGAGGCATAGGTGAGAGGACTGCCTGCTTTCAGGGGTTCAAGACCAGCCTTGGCAACTTGGTGAGATCTCTGGTCTCTACAATAAATCTAAAAATTAGCCAGGTGTGGTGGCATGTGCCTGTAGTTCTAGCTACTTGGAAGGCTGAGGTGGAAGGATACCCTGAGCACAGCAGGTCGCAGGTGGTGACCATGAGTGTGTCACCACACTTCAGCCTGGGGGACAGAGACTCCAACTCAAACAAAAACAAAAACAAAAAAGGATGCAAAAACGTTAACATGTAACAGTTACCTGTAATCTCCAGATAGCAAGATTTGGGGGGACTTAATATTCTTTATACTATTCTGAGTAACAGGTACCTATCACTCTACAGCAGTGCTTCTCAAATTTTTTCACTATTGCCCTTATAAGGCCTTTTAGACATCTTTTTCTTAACTGCCCTCACTCCATGAAATTATAATACCAAAGACATGCTATATACATCTGTTTATGTACTTTGGTCCTTTGGTAGGCCACTGTGAAGATATAAGATTGCTTCACCCCCAAGAGAATGATAAAATCAGTACTGCTGAGAATTCATGCTTCAAGACAAGAGAATAGGAAATGAAACAAACACAAGGAACAATATTCCTTACTCAACTGTGACAAATATTTTAACGTGACAAAAGGTTCAAGACTTTCCTCTCATGAAAACTCTGAATGGAACTCAACCTTTGGTAATGATTACTAAAAATCTTAAATGAAGCTTCTAGTAAGTGAACATCCTTTCCTTACCCTTCTCTCCATTAGCCAGGAGTTAATATTTTCTAAAAAATTGGAAAATGCTTCAACAGTTAACTGACTAGTTTATGTGCATAAAACTTGAGCAGCATACAGAACAAACATATTTTAGCTTTGATTCCTTTTATCTAGGATCTGAAAGTCCTTGAAGGAACAAACACAGACCCCCTTCCCCAGGAACGCTAAGGCGTCCCACTCCCTCAGTCACCACAAGCATAAACTTAGTTGAAAGACAGCCACATATAAAGTGTACATATATCGTGCAGTGGCTCACGCCTTTCATCCCAGCACTTTGGGAGGCAAAGGCAAGAGGATCACCTGAGCCCAGGGATTTGAGACCAGCCTGGGCAACTTGGCGAGACCTCGTCTCTACATAAATAAAAAAATTAGCCAGGCATGGTGGTGCACACCTGTAGTTTCAGCTGCTTGGAAGGCTGAAGCAGAAAGATCGCCTGAACCCAGCAGGTCGAGGCTGTGGTGGCCATGAGCAAGTCACTGCACTCCAGCCTGGGCAACAGTGAGACTCCGACTCATAAAATAAATAAAATAAGATAAAATAAAAACAAAATAATAAAAAAACAGATAAAACATAAATCAGGCATCTTTGGAAACTGAAACAGTTAGATTACCAATTACAGGAGCAGGAGGTGCTTGGGCCGGAGCTGCTTTATTCCAGGGACCTGAAGACTTTTCTACACCACCACCACCTCCTCCACCTTCTTCCCAGTTGTCGCCTGGATCTTCTCTCTTTTCATTATCGTCTTCTTCCTTTTCACTATTGGAAAAGCAAGCAAGTCAATGCAATTAATGAACCACCAGGAAAACTGTCAGTCCAAATTATTAGTTTTGTCAATGCTTATCTGTGTGACCCTGAAGGAGTCACGTAACCTCTCTGAGCCTAAATGCCTCATCTGTTTAAGAAAGGGGGATGGGGAAATAGGAATGTTATCTCATACCTTAGGACTTACACTTGACTTCCTATGAAAAAGAATTTCACTGCTAAAAAAGCCTTAGAAAACCACTGGGTCTGATCGTCCCCCTTTCCCTTTTTGCAAACAACCTCACACACCCAAGAAAATTTAGCAATACTGGAAACGCTGGCATGTCTGTGTGACAATATGCCTGATGACTGACAGTAGTCTAACATAAGACCAGGGCTGAGGGAGGGAAGGGAGGCTGACGCAACCTGAAAAGGGTGACCCAAAGGACAACTTTGGGAGGCTGAGGCGAGTGGATTGCCTGAGCCCACGGGTTGGAGACCAGCCCGGGCAACTTGGCGAGACTTCATCTCCACAATAAATCAAAAATTAGCTGGGCGTGGTAGCGCACACCTATAGTTCTGGCGACTTGGAAGGCTGAGGTAGAAGGATTGCTGAGCCCAGCAGGTCAATGCTGGGGTGGCCGTGAGCGGGCCACTGCCCTCCAGCCTGGGCAACAGATCAAGTCTCCAACTCAAAAAAAAAAAAAAAAAAATTATTCTAGGGCCAAAGTATAAAACAGGCATTTATGGTAAGCTATTTTTAGTGAGCAAATGAAGTTTCTTTGAACGTGTGTAATTTTATCTGCAAATCCTTTGGCATATAACAAAATGCTCTTAAAATTATAATTCATATTTCAACAGAGGAAAACAAGTTTGTCTCTAGTGTTTACTTCAGTGCTACAGATTGTCAGTGCCAGTCTTTACTGATACAGAAAGACCTAAAGAACTATACCCGACCATCAGACATGTCTTTGTCATCTGTTTTAAAAAGAAAAAATTATAAGAACTCAGTCTTCAGCTTACTAGTTATTACAAATGGAAAAGAAATCCTCAGTGGTAACACATCAACTTAAGACTGCTTGTAGTATCTTTTTAATGCCAATGCTTATTATTTTATTCTTGAATTGACTTGGGTCAGATTATTTCTCCTGTTGCTGGAATACTTATTACTATTTTATGTAAACTTACATGTCCTAAATTACCAAGTACACGTATCTTGGTCTCCCTGCTGCTAGCTTGACAGCAGAGATATTAAGTACAATACCTAACAACTGCTGGACTCAGCAGACACACCTGGCAGAACCACCAGCATTTTCCCAGAGTTATTTTTCATGATGCTGGTGGCTTTTTCTAGGTCTTCAGCTTCTCAACCTCAACCACTCTGAGTTACCTTTTCCTCTCAAGAAAACCTGGCTAGTTCCCAAAGTTCTGTCCCTGGCCTCTCTTTTTTTTGAGTAGGTGTCTCCCTCTGTCACCCAGGCTGGAGTGCAGTGGCACACTCACAGCCATCACAGCCTTGACCTGCTGGGCTCAGGCGATCTTTCCCCCTCAGTCTTCCTTCAAAGGAGCTAGAACCACAGGTGTGCACCACCATGCCCAGCTATGTCCCTGGCCTCTTTTAGATGTTTCTCCTTTTGATATCTGATCCACAATCATGGCCATAACGTAGATAAACCCACTATGACTCTCTTAACTGTATGCCTTGGGAATGTCACAGCCTTTCTTGGCTTTTGCAAAAGGACATTTTAAGATGTCTTCCAGGCCAGGCGTGGTAGCTCACACCTGTGGTCCCAGCACTTTGGGATGCAGAGGCAGGAGAAGTTTGAGGCCAGGCGTTCGAGACCACCCTAGACAACATAGTAAAACTCTATCTCTATAAAAAATAAAAAAAGTAGCCAGGTGCGGTAGTTCATGCCTGCAGTCAACTACTTGGGAAGGTGAGTGGGAGGATTGCTTGAACCTAAGAGCTCAAGGCGGCAGTGGGCCAAGATTCTGCCACTGCACTCCAGCCTTGGTAACAGACTAAGACGTATTTATAAAGGGGGGAAAAAAGCGTTCCTTCCATGTCCATTAAAACAAGACACATCCTAGCTGTTAAGACAAGTTTTTGACCAGCATGATGATCTCCATTAAAAATACCAAGAAAAAAGTCAAAAGTAACAGCAGCAACTTATGTATTACCTACTAATCAGAGGTAATTCCAGAATGTAGAGGCAAAGGTGCCAATCAGGAAAGAGAACGGATCTGTCTTCAATCTACATTTATAGCAAGTTTTTACTTGAAACTGTATGAGAGGACGAAGGATAAAAAACATGGCCAAGCCATCTCTCAGTTTTCCTTTCTGTTAATACATAACCGAATTCTACATAGCCATCTAAAATGCCAAGCTGGTGCTGACATAGAGTGATATGTCATATAAACTAATAATTACTAAAACAACATCTATATACCTAATATAAAAACAATTAACAATTTTTAAAAATTGTCTAAGGAATAGTTTTGGTTGTCAGAGTCAATAACTTGTTCCTTAATGATTTAAAAATATACCCAATTCTGAAGTGCCAATATAATTACATTGTGATGCAATCTGCTTGGTTCGAGGGTAAAAGCATGGATGCTATTCACCTAGCTACAACTAGCAATACCCCAGCAGCCCAATCCATTCCAGATAAAGAGACAAAGCCCTCCACAAAGACTTCAGTGCCCTCATGGCACTTACTTTTATATACTCTAGCTGTGACAGCTTTCGGTCGTTTACATTTTTAAACAGTTAACTCACCAATGCACTAAATCACAACTGTTCACACACATATACTAGATTCTAAAATACGTTCCTCCCAAATTATTTTAATATCTGGTGATTAATATATCTCAACTCCAAAATTATTAGTTTGCAATAAGCAATCTTCAATCACTGATTATCCCTAAGTAGAAGAGATTATAGATAATTCTACTACCTATCTTTAGGCTTTTCCCTTTCTTCAAATGTTCCAACAACAAAAGCATATTATTTTATAATTCACAAGAAAAAAGATTTTAAAGAAAAACTCCAATGTGGTGTCACAGAACAGCAACAGCATCTCAAGCAAAATAACTTTCCTTACTGTCCAAGTGTCTCTACCATCTCCTTGCATTCAGGAAAAAAAAAAACCCCACAAATTTAAAAGCACAACTAGATTATAAACTATTACTAAAAAATAAGCACAATCTGCTTAATTGTAAAGACTATATAGGATGGGTATAGTGGCTCACACCTGTCATCTCAGCACTTTGGGAAGCAGAGGTAAGAGGACTGCCTGAGCCCAGGGCTTTGACCAGCCTGGGTAACTTGGCTAGATCTCGTTTCTACAATAAACCAAAAAAAAATATAGGCCGGGCTTGGTGGCTCAGCCTGTAATCCCAACACTTTGGGAGCCCACAGGTTCAAAACCAGCCTGGGTAACTTGGCGAGACCTCATCTTTACAATAAATCAAAAAGTAGCTGGGCATGGTAGCCTGCGCGCCTATTGCAATTTCTAGCTACTTGGAAGACTGAGGCAGAAGAACCACCTGAGCCCAGCAGGTAAACACTGGATTGGCCACGAGCATGCGTGCCACTGCACTCCAGCCTGGGCGACGGAGTGAGGCTCCAACTAAAAAAAATAATAATAATTAATTAATTTATAAAATGAGACAGCCATGGTGGCATGGGCCTGTGGTTCCAGCTACTTGGAAGGCTGAGCTGGAAGGATCACCTGAACCCAGCAGGTCAAGGCTGTGGTGGCTGTGAGTGTGCCACTGCACTCCAGCCTGGGCGACAGAGTGAGACCAGGGGATGGGGGAGGAAATGTATAATAAAAGACACAAGTAGAAAACTTAATATTTGGGTTCTTAAGATTCTGAAATATCAGCTAGACACTGGAAACTGTCTAACCAAGACTTTTCATCCAACACATGCAATAACCAGGGCCCAGAAATGTTTAGAACCTTGCCTAAATGCTATAGCACTAATGGCAGGGCATAAATGATTTATTCAACTATTTTTTCATATTTACATATTCCAGAAAGTGTCAACTCTCGAAATGCCAAAGCCAGAACGACAAACATGTTGCCAACGGTTATTTCCATAGAAGACAAGCTAAAATTCAGCATTTGACCCAAATATAAGGAACAACTTTTCATCAGCTAAATTTTATGTATACTACTGTAAATTCACCATCACAACTCAAAGTATGAGGTCTTAAATATGTGTAGGTATGTAGGGCACTATTGTTGGTAAGAGCAGCAACAATGACGCTAGAAAGGTGGCTGGGCGTGGTTACTCACGCTAACCCTGGCGCTTTAGGAGGAGAAGGCAGAGGGATCGCTTGATGCCAGGAATATGAATCAAGCCTGGGCAACATAGTGAGACCCTGTCTCTACAAAACATTAAAAAACTGGTCGAGCTCGGTGGCTCAGCCTGCAATCCCAATGCTTTGGGAGGCCAAGGCAAGAGGATTACCTGAGTCCATGGGTTCGAGACCCACCCGGGCAACTTGGCGAGACCTCGTCTCTACAATAAATCAAAAATTAGCCGGGCGTGGTAGCACGTGCCTGTA